ACCTTGTGTGAAAGGCGGCCCCCCCCCACCAGCCCTTTCCTCCCCCCCTTTTGTGTGGGCCCCCCTTTTTTTTCCTCACCTTCCTCGACGGCCGCTGCTCATTCACCGCCGACGCCGGCAAAGGCCCCCCTCCAAAAAAAAAAAGAAGAAGAAAGAAACCAGCCACCACCCCCTCTTCTCGGCCCTTCTTTTTCGGCCTCTCTCCCTCCACTCTTCTTTTGCAGGCCCGTGGGGGGCAGGCAGGCAGGCGAGGAACACCCCCAACCCCGCCAAGCTCTGCTTTTCTCCCTCCGAGGCGTCGTCGCTGAGGCGTCCTTGCTTCGCCTTTTTTTTTTCCTCGTCGGGGGAGGAAGGCGACGTGTTTTTTTTTTCCTTTCCCCTTCTTTCGGGCCGCGCGAGCCCCCTTCCGACACCGCCTCAGGCCCGCCCGCCTTGCCTTGCCTTGCCTTCCCTCAGCCCGTCCGTCCCGCGCGGCGCGTGGCAGCCGCTTTCCCTCACGAGCCCTAACCGCCACACACTGGGGGGGAGGGGGGGAAGAAACCAAAAAGGAGGGCGGCGGCTGCAGCAACCACACAAATAAAGGCGACCCCCTGAGGCGGCAGAAAGACAGACCCAGATGGACAGACAGGCAGGCGGGCGGGCGGAAAAAAATATATATGTTTTTTCAATCTATATAAATCCCTTCCTCTCTCTCTCTCTCTGGTTTTGAGAGGAGGGGGGAACGGAAAAAAAACTCCCCGGGAAAAAAAGGGGGGTAGGTTAAAAAAAAAAAGCAACAACAACAGCGGCGGCTTGGGCCTGGGCGCGGCCGGCGAGGAAGGAGAGAAGCCTGAGCCGTTCCTCCCGTCAAGCCCGCCCGCTTCCTTCCTTCGCTCTTCCTGCGCCCGCCCGCCCCGTTTTGTTCGTCCGCTCGCTGGCTGGCTGGCTGGCTCGCGTGCCCTACGGGGGCTGGCTCGGACGAGGGTCCCCCCATCCCCCTGCCCCTGCGGGCCGCGCTGGGTCAGATTTTTTTTTTTTTGGTTTTAATTTTAAATTTTGTTTTTTAAAAAATGGTTTTCTGGGGTGTTAGCCGAGGAGGAGGAGGAGGAGGCTGAGCTCTTCCTTGGGCAAGGGTAGAAAGGCAAACAAACATAAATAAATAAAGTCATACAAAGGCAAAGAAATACATACACATAAAGACAAAGAAATAAATAAACATAAAGACAGGACAGGCAAAATCCAAAGAAACAAAACTAAATAATGAAAAAAAAGGGTTCGTCTTTAAGGGGCCATATGTTTTCGTTTTCTTTCTCTCTTTTTTTGCGTTTTTCTTTTGTTTCATTGGATTTTTTTGCCTGAGAGGCTTGTACAAGTTAACACCGACCAATAAGTAAATAGGGTGTGTGTTTTTTTCTTAAAAAAAGGTGTTTCCCACCCTTTTTATTCTTTAGCTGCCTAGAGTGGTCTTAATTGACAAGATAGGCGGGATATAAATAAATAAATACATACATACATACATACATACATACATACATACATACATACATACATACATACAAAATAAATAAATAAATAAATAAATTTGTTTTTAAAGCACACTTTAAGATAATTCCAGTTTCTGATTTGCTTCCTTTCCTTTCAAAAAAAGAAAAAAAAGAAACATGCAAAAGCTGGGGAAAGACAAGGCGAGCCAATGTGTGTGCAATATATGTAAAATTCTTTTAAAATCTACCTAAAGCCACTTTAAAAATGTGTATTGTGTAATATATATCTCAGTAAAAAAAGGAGGGGGGAGGAAGAGAGAGAAAAACCTGCGAAAATAGACATAGCTTTGTAAGTAACTAAGGAAGAAGGCTTGGTTATTTTACAGATGGGGGGGTAAGAAAGAAAATCAGGGATCAAGGATAAAAGTTAAATCAACTCCACCCTTGCTTATGGTTTTAAATAGGCTGGTTTTTTTAAAAAAGCATGCCTCAGCAGCTTCAACATATTTAGCATGAAACTGATATTTCATTCAATATTTCCATATACATTATGTCTGATGAAGTGGATGTTTCCATGAAAGCTCACATTAAAATATATCTTTAAGATGCCATATGTTTTTTTTAACTCTATTTCTTTGGATTTTTGCTTGATATATCTGGTGGATGTAAAGGATAGGGACAAAATTACACACTACACATTTTAAAATTGGCTTTAGTTGGATTTTAAAAGGATTTTGCATTTTTTTACCACTGTTTTTTTTTCCAAACTAGTTTATGCCCTTTTTACAGATTACTCTTTGGAAGAGCAGGCCTTCATTTTCAACTCATCTCTTTACAAGAAATGCCATTTTTGCTATGTGCTGTCAAGTTTCTGATGACTTTAACAGCAACCCAATGAAATGGCAACCTCCAAAATGTCCTCAAGAGCCATGCTCAGCTCTTGCAAATGGAAGCCCATGGCTTCCTTTAGGGAGTCGATCCAATGGAAGCCCATGGCTTCCTTGAGGGAGTCGATCCATCTCACATTTGGCCTTCCTCTTTTCCTGCTGTCTTCCACCTTTCCCAGCATTTCTGTCTTTTCCTAAGAACCCTCCCTGCTCATGATGGGCCCAAAGCAGAGCAGCCTCAGTTTTAACAATGTGTGCCTCCAGAGAGAGCTTGGGCTTGATTTGATCTAGGACCTACTTGTTCATCTTTCTGGCAGTCCAGGGTATCCTCAAAGCTCTCCTCCAGCACCATATTTCAAACAAATCACTCTCCCAATCCCAAATCAGCTTGACTGGGAATACAAGAGTGTGGATGATCTTGGTCTTGATCTCCAGAGACACATCCTTATGCTTCATAATCTTTTCTAATTCCTTCATTTCTAATCCTCAGAGTCTCCGTCTTCTTCTGATTTCTTGACTTCACTCTCCATTTGGATTTGTGATTGAGACAAGATATGCAAAATGTTCACTACAGTATTTCAGTCTCTTCATTGTCAATGGGCATGTAAATCCCACTGTGTTTGATAGACCGTGCAACCTACTAAGTAGGTTTAAGTTTGTAGCCTAAAAGATCTGCCATGATAAACATTTACAAGATCACCAAAACTGGAGTATTTAAATTATTTGCAACTCTTGTTGCAGATAAACTATAAAAACTCCAAAACACCAATTAATTCAATAGACTACATCAGCCATACCAAAGAGTCCAGCAAAGAAAAAGAATTTAAATATCTATCATCAAGATATAATTTTTAAGAAGCTTATATAATGGATGAGCAAGTTTTGTGGGCCATAACATTTCCTTCCCTCATCACAGACAATGGGGCATATCTTGACTTCCCTCTGCCCAAGAAATATAGGAATTATTTTATAATGAGGTGCCTGTAGGCTAGAAGTTTCTGACAGAACCCTTGGCATGTTTAACTGAGGTCCACTTTATTAAAAATATTTGTTATTTATATTGACAGAATTCAGGGGCCCAGTGCAAAGCATGTGACTCAAAAATAAACACCCTGTAGACTGATAGTTTTAAAAAAAATAGATATGTACTGCTAATTAACTACTGTACTAAATTTGTTTGTGGTTACTGTGGGAAGATTAGGAACCTAAACCTAGGTAAAGAGATTCCCAGAACTGGTTTCCATGCTGAGTAGCTGGATCAGGCAGCCACTGCTCGACTAAACTAAAGAATATGTGACCTTAGAAAAAGGAAGGAAGGAAGCCTAAGAATACCACTCTACACGTAGATATAGAAAAGACACAAGGGGGAAACACAGGATACCTAAAGAGATTCAGTCAGTCCGTGCTGACACAGGATGTGATGCCTGCTTGTCTCACGGTTGGCTCTGCACCAGCACTTCACTCACCAAGCTATCTAGCCAACAACATTTCAATTACCCACAATTAATTACCCCAGAGGTAATGCTATGAACCTATACAGCTACCCAGCATAGAAGAACCTCTGACCAACATCAGTGGTGGCTCCTGCTGGTATCCTGAGACAGCCGATTAAAGGTGCTGGGGAGTACTGACTGGGGGTATGTGTCTGAGAATTGCCATGGGGGAAAAATAACATTTCTCAGATGTATAGGCATTGAATTTGGTCTCTGCTGCACTTTCATTAACCATTGTCTGGAGAAAGGCCGGGTTTCGCTTGTTTTCAACTGTGCCCTACATTGCAGCTCCTCGTTTACATTGCTCTATTGAGTGAACAGGAAGCACTTTTGAATAAGATCTGGGCCTATCTGTATATCCCCACCTTGATTGCTGTTTCCTGTCTGCAGCAAACGAATATCCACTCGGAGGGTGGGTCTTTCTGTAATCAGCATCAGTAATATCAAATACCCAGCAACGAAAGCTAAGAATCATACAAGCTTTAATTAGAGTGTCTTATTCATATCAGATCATTGCAAGCCTAAACATCTATTTATCAAGGTCATTCGTCAAAACATAAAGCTTGGCATGAGATAATTTATCTAGTAATCTACCCATTTTTTTAAAAAAAGGAGGAGATGGCTGAGATGTAGCCGAGTTTTAAATGTTTGCTTTGCGTTCCAGCCTCCATACAATTTGCCATAGCTTCAGCGCCTCTCTTAAAACATGTATCTAAATTATACTTATGCACGTTTTGCTGGTATCATGAAACTCAACCATGTTTGTGTAACTCTGTTGTGTAAACAGCACCTAAACAATGGATTTAAGCACACGTACACACACATCGCTATGATGTGGTGTCAAATGAGAAAGCTAATGCAATACAAGACTAGATCAAAAGTTGTACAAGAAACAAAGGAAGTTGTTGTTATGCGCTGTCAAATCATCTCCGACTCATGGCAACCTTATGAATGAGCAAAAGGTCTTGTCTACAGCTGTCCTGCTCAGCTCTTGAAAAAGTTCAAGCCTATGGCTTCCTTTAAGGAGTCAGTCTCTCTTGCATTTGGTCTTCCTCTTTTCCTGCAGCCTCAAACTGCCAGCCTGGAACCCCTGGGCTATCCAGGCAGCTCAGATCACTTAAGAGAACGAAATAAACAAAGACAGCTGTGGAAGCTGCCAATGAGCACCTCGTTGGCACCTTAAGGCAGTTGGAATTCCTTACAAATTGAGCCGCCTGCTGATCCTTGCAAATTGTCACCTGGACAGCTACGGCAATCCACCTTGGGATACTCAGTTTGATAAACTATGAACATACAATGGGACAAACTGTAGTCACACCCATAGATGTTTGGCCATAGTAGAGTACCTGTAGGCAAATTTCTGGTGACTGTCTGTCAGGGACAGACTTCCTGCTTCAGCAGGAGGCTGGACCGGATAATCTCAGGCGTTCCTCCCAGCTGTACTATGTTTTGATTCTATGGAGAATCGTGTAGCAGGAATCAACGCTTGTTTTGGGAAAAGTGGCTCTCGCAGGAAAGCTGCCATCTATACTCACAACCTTAGCCCATCATGCTAAGTATTGTTCACACCAGCCTTCTCCAACCTGATACCCTCTCTTTACATTTGTTTGTTTAATAATAATTTCATAATCCTAGAACTTCAGAGCTGGAAGGGACCCTGTGGGATCATCAAGTCCAGCCCCTGTCAAGAAGGCCCAGAGGGGGAATCAAACTCCCAACGTCTGGCTCCGCAGCCAGAGACTAAACCACGGAGCCCACCAGCCGTTTTCATCCTTTCCAGGAAATATGGACGAACAAATCACCATCTGATCTCCAAGGTTTTGCATTAAAAGTCTCCCCAGCTTCGACCAGGAGATGCCAGGATTAAACCTAGCCTCTTATCCTGTGCTCTGCCACCAACCCACAACCATTCCTCTTCCGGCAACACAGAGAAGGGAGAACATGATTTTTTGCCCTCCTCACACCCAGCCATTTAACTTTTCTAAACAATCCTTTCTGGATTACAATATCCGGCAGAGGCTCTCTTGAATTTAAAAAAAAAAACTGTGATGCTTTTGGAATGATTCAGAAAGC